TTAGGTGCCTAAGTCAAGGAAGTGGTTTGGGTCTGTGAATTCCAGTCACTTCTGTTTTAACCAAGGGCTGCAGAAAAGCAGCCAAATACAGGAGAGAAGCAGGATTTCAGACATGCCCCTCTTCAACATTTCCCATCAGCTAACGCAGGCATCTTGCCACCTCCACTTAGTATGCTGACTATCAGCCTATTCCCAGGTGCCTAACTCTCCCATTCACTGCATAAGGAACTCGGGTAGCTTATCTGGGTTTCTGAATCCATTGCAAGAGCTGGGTGCCTAAAAGATGGCTGTGGCAATGCTCAGCATTGTTATGCCAAAGTCCTACTGCGGACCTGTTCATTACATTTTTCCACTGTTGACCAGTCTGGCCGTGTTAGCTGCTGATTTCTCAAAGGCTTGAAGAGACTTTTTTGCAGTTTAACTTTATACAGTAATTCTTTCAATAAAAATAACCAAAGTAAAACCAAATCCATTATAGCCTTGAGATTACATTTCAATAACCCAATAATTCCTATGGGGGTATGAGTTTTGAGAGAGGGAGAAAACACTTCAGCATAAAACTAATCAGATTTACAACATAAAATAAAGATTTAGTTTTAGAATCTGCTTTATCCAGCTGCTAACAGAGGGCAGTGTATAAGTACTATGTCCAATCAATAGTAGCTGCTTAGAGTCACATAGCCTCTCTCTCACCCACACATGCACACATATTAGTAGTCACACTCACACCAGTGCAGAAATAAATGTTCTGATCAAATTATGAAAAATATCCTTTTGTAGTGGTTTTTCTTGTTCTCCACAAAAAAATAATTAGCCAAGCCTTAGGTTAGTTGAAAAACAAATGATAAAACTGTCTGCTTTAAGGGTGTCTTTGCCCTCCTCTTGAGCCTTGACTGACCTGGGAGAATAAAACTTGCTTGGAGTCTGGATTCAGACATCCAGATGACATGGCAGGCCCTGTGAAGTTGATGGCAGATGATCTTTGCTTGGATGCTTATGATGTTTGCTTGTGAAAAGACACTAATGTTGGTGTATCTATTTTCCCACTGGACTTGAAGGGTCTTCTGTAGGCAGCGTTCGTGGTACTTTTGTAACAACATGGTGTCTCCTGTATGTCCACATCTCAGCCCCATACAGTAGAGGTGGCGATCACAGCTGCTTGATAAACCATGAGCTTGGTTTTGCATCTGATGTCACAATCTTTGAACATCCATTTCGTAGGTGTCCAAAGCCTACACATACATGTATGAGGCAATGTTGGATTTCTTTGTCAATGTCAGCCTTCTGTGAGAGATGGCTTCCAAGGTACAGGATCTGGGGACTGCTCAGTAAGAGCGTGTTGATGGAATCTTCTGAATGTTAAGTATCTGTTCCATTTTCTTCTATGCCTCGGTAAAGATGTAGACAATTGCTTGAAGGCCTGCTTCTGAGTGAACACAGACTACAGTATCATCAGTGTAATGGAGCTCAATGATTGAGGTTGGCGTGAGCTTGGTTTTGGCTCTGAGTCAGCTGAGATTAAACAGCTTGCCATCCATTTGGTAGCTTAGCTACACTTCAGCTGGAAGCCTGTTGGTGGGTCAGATCATCACAGTGAGGAATAAATATTAAGAATAATGTTGAAGTCAGGATGAAGTCTTGCTTAATGCCCGCCTTAACCTTAAAGGGACTTGTGATAGATCCATTACTGAGAACTACTGCTTATATACAGTCATGGGGCAGGCAGAGAATGGTGATGAATTTTGCTGAGCATCTGTACTTCAGAAGAATCCTCCACAGCACTTCTCAGTTGACAAATGTTGAAGCCTTTTGTGAGGTCATACAAGGCTGTGTAGAGAGGTTTGTGTTGTTCCCGACATTTTTCCTGCAGCCAGGAAGAAAGGGATTTGGTGGTAGGGGTCTGCTACAGACCCCCACATCAAGGGGAAGAAGGGGATTCGGGGCTCCTGAGGCAACTCTCAGAGACCATAAAAGCTAAAGAGGCGGTAGTCATGGGGGACCTAAACTACCCGGACATCTGCTGGGAGTCACAGACAGCAAAGTCCCACTGCTCACGCAGGTTCCTAACCTGTGTACAGGACCTCCACCTGACA